TATTTTAAAATCCTATTAAAATTTTAAAATAGTTTCAGATATATTCCTCTAAATCAAAGATGAGAGTAAAATACTTTCTGTGCATATATTGGAGTTTCTGTGTCTTTTTTTTCTTATCATTATTTTTTATTGAGTTGGGAAAGCCATATGAACTTCAAATAAGTAAAAGGAGCTAAATCTTGAACTATTATTCTCGCTACCAATCTTTCATCCTTTATATCTTTTTTTTTTTAATTTATCTATTATCCAACTTGGGGCAAGGCATTTTCTTGATTCTTTTTTCTGGAAACACATAGCATATATATCATATATATCTCTCCTTTGGCATTTCATGAATAGAATGCATATGCTTAATAACTACAGTGAAACAAAAACTGAAAAAAAAAAATTTTAACTCTCCATTTTATATAGTACCCAGTATAAAGACATCATTAACCTGCTTATGTTATAATTATTAGGGAGAATTTTTAAAACTCACAGTATCCTACTTCAACATATTTTTAAAATAAATCACTTAATTTTAAAGAAAAATAGAACATTTTAATTTAACCTTTAAAATTTTGTATTGTTCAAACTGCAGTTTCAGCCAATTATTAAAATAGAGTTTCTCCTATAATTTACCCCCAAATTTGGACTTAAATATATGTGTTAGGGATGCAGAGAAAGACATTTAACTACCAGTCAAAATAAAATAACACTCAAGATCTACCCTGTCTGATAGAGTAGCTACCGTCACAGGTGGCTACTTAAAATCACATTAATATTAATTTAAATGATGTAATTTTGAATAGCTCCTCAGTCTTGCTAACCATATTTCAAGGACTCATTAGTCACAACTTGGTTAGTGACTACCCATTCATTGGACAATTCAGTCATGGGACATATCTATCTTTGCAAAAGTCTATTGGGCAACACTAGACTTTTCTCCAATGTTTACTTTTAAACTTCTGTTCATTGTTTCTCTTCCGTTTCCATCTTCTGACTTCTTACTAACTGCCTTTTCCTGCCTCGCAAGTTGTTCTTAAATCTGACCCACCAGGGGATATCCACAGTACCTGAAGATAACTGTAGTTGACACACCTGGGGGGAAGGAGCTTTTATCATGCCTTGATATAGGCTATGATTCTGGTAAACATCCTATAATGAACAGAAAAATTCCCCCACCCCAGACAAAGGGTTATGAGTCAATTGTGCCAAGGTTGAAAAACCTGGACCCACACTATACTCTAGCTTGAGGCCAATTTTGCCACATTTACTAAAAATTTGGTCACCATAGTCTATGCCTTTTGATTACTCCCCCCAAAATTAATGCACACTGTCCTCAACAAAACAATACACCTTGCCCACTGAGGCCTAGCACCCAAACTCCCCACTAATCTGAAAAATATACTTAAAGCTTCATTACTATAAATTCATAATTTTCCAGAAGAAGAAACTTTCTCAAACTGATTAGATTAACGATTTTTATTCCTTTAGATTATGTGCTACATGAGGGCAAAGTCTGTGTCTTTTCTATTTTTATTTTTTTCCTGCTGCGATATATATATATATATCTTAACTCTTAGAGAAAAGGTAGGGAGAACAAAGCAAGAAACATGAGTTACTCTCATAGAACAATGATGACAAAAATCATCTGAGTATGTACATATGTGACTCAGTATGTGTGTATGTATACAGGGAAAATAAGGATTATACAGTAGCTTGGCAATATGAATTACTTAAGGGAGTGTCACTGTTATAGGAAAGAAGAAAGAAAAGAAAAAATATACAAAACTGTTACAAATCATGATCAAGGTTGAAAGTTATATTTGAATCAAAAATAAATAAATAAATAAATAAATAACAGATTATTTAAGAACTATCTGAAATGGAACAGATGAAAGGAAAAGCATGAGAAGACCCGTTAATTAACAGATTTGCAGTCTCGAAGAGAAACAGCTAATCAGTCAGAAATAAACTGTTTCATATAGTAGTAAGTCCTCTGAAAAATTCTGGCAATTAGGAAATAGGTTGATAGAGACAGTCCTGAGTGCTGAGAAGATATAGGGAGTTAGGGAACTGAATTTTTGATTCAGTGGATATTACTGAAAGCGACAAGATTAGACGTGGCAGCCTAGGCAGAGAAGGTAGGGAGAGAGTTAAGGAGTGCACTCTGGCATCCACAGACTAAGACATAGAAAAGCAGCTCAAGGAGATGACTGAGAAAGCAAGCCCAGGAGGAATCAAAGGGGAGGTTTTCCCTTAAATATCAGTGCTAGGGGAGATGATAACCAAGGGTCAACCCATGAATCAGCAACACAAAGTCTGCTGATGGTCCTCTTGAGAACAATGAAGAGTGTTGGCAAGGACGAACACCTACCTGAGATGAACACTACTGAGATGAGCCCAAAAGTGTAGAGATAAGGAAGTGAGATGAAAGGCAGTGAGTTTACCTGTAAAGTATACTGTGGGGGTGGTACAGGTGACAGAGGCAATAAATGAAGCAGCACAATGGGATGGACCATGGTTTTAATGATTTTTTGTTTTCAAGTTCATGTTGAAACTGTCCCCAATTCAAATGTTTTAAGAGGTGTGGCCTTTGGAAGTTGATTGGGTCATGAGGGTTCCATGTTTATGAGTGGGAGTGGGATTAGGTACTCTTACAAAAAACACTTGTCAGAATGAATGTACCTTTCTTGCCTACCCCTCTTGCTTCACCCCATTTTCCACCCTGTGAGGACACAGATTCCTCAAACTCTGGAGGAGTCAAGAGCAAGCTGCCACACTGCAGGTGAAGATTGAGCTCTCTCCAGACTCAACCTGCCAGTGTCTTGTGTCTTGGACTTTCAGTTTCCAGTACTGGGAGAAATAAATTTCTCTTCTTTAAGAATTTCCCAGTGTCAGGTATTTTGTTTCAGCAGCATAGACAAAGACAGTGTCCTTGAAGGTTTTTTAAGAAGTCATGTTTGTGCACTTATTTTAATAAACTAGCTGGATGGGAAAAAAAATCCCTAATTCAGGAGAAAGAAACAAAATTGCAAGTGAAAACTCAATGAAAAGAAGGAAAAACATCCAATATGCAAGGAAAAGGTCAGGCCCAGACTGGAGAAGAAACAGATATGTTCTTACCTCAAAGCATACATCAATGTATCATGACAAGGTGCTTTCCCCTAAGGATAATTCTGAAGCTATTCCACTGCATCTTATTAAAATCAATACAGAAATTGATCACACCAGTTGTGCACAAGCCAAAGGTTCATGACTGGTGATTCCAAACAAGAAAACAATGAGTTTTGGTGGTGGGAGACATGTATGTAAATTCTCCAAATAATAGACTAAAAATGATGAGAATATAAATAAGTGAAACACATAAAAATATTTGAATAGAGTGATATATATTAATATTTTAGTTATTCTATGAAAATGGAGACATTTAATCATCATTAAAAAAAAAAAAAAAAAAAAAAAACTCCAAGAAACAAACATCTGGTGTTTTCGTCTCCAGTCTAGGCCTGACCTTTTCCTTACATATTAGATGTTTTTCCCACTTTTTATTGAGTTTCGCTTGCAATTTTGTTTCTTTCTCCTGAATCAGGGATTTTTTTTTCACCCTGCTGGGTGTGGCAGTAATCCCAGGGACTCACAGTTTGAGGCCAACCTCAGCAATTTAGCAAGGCTTTAAGCAATTTAGCAAGACCCTGTCTCAAAATAAAAAAAAAATTAATTAAAAAGGACATGGGGTGTAACTCAGTGGTAAAGTGTCCCTGAGTTCAATCCCCAGTGTTGGGGGGAAAAAAATTCCAAGGAATGTGTACTCATGTTTTTAAGAAAAAAAAAGAGGTAATTTTTATCTAAACCAGAAGAATTTCATACTGCAATAGCTATTATACTGTTTAGCAAAACAACCCATGATTTTAAAGTCACTGATAATCAATGTTCTTCTTTTCTCATATCTCACACCAACAAGACATCAATATTGTTTAGTATCATTTAAAATGAGAAAAAACAAAAGTCCTCTTTTTTTGTATCCTTAAATCTGGAGAAATATTAAGCTTTGCCAACATAGACAGAATTTAAAAAGCAGCTAGAAATACAGCTAATTTTTACATTTTTAAATAAAATTTCAAAGAAAACAAGATCCCCCTAACTCTAGCTGTAGGCACAAAACTAAGCAGTCAAAAAGTTCATATAAACTTGTTAATTATAGAAATAATAAACTAATTTTGAACAAAATTGGTCAATTTCATTCTATTTATCACCTTTGGTTTTTTTATCCATGATTATCCAAATAATGTATATTTACTTCCATATATAAGCTAATACTTCCAAAGAAAAAAAATCTACAATAATAGTTGTCAGAGATCTTATATAACTTTCAGGCCTAAAGCATTAAATACCATCTCAACTTTGCTAAATTATTCAGTTTTCTTCATAGTAAGAATAGTAGGATGGTTTAAGCATCTTCAACAGACTCAGCAATAGGAGTTCACAATATTTTCTTTCCTTTCCTTTGCATTAAGTTAGCTCAAATAATAGCAAAATATCTTCTTACTGAAAAAAATGATTCTGATAAAATTGTACTTTAACATCCAGTGTTTTTAATTGCAACTGGTCTTTTAGGTAAGTGAAAAACACCCAAATGAAGCTTTTAATCATTTTAAACTTTTAATTCAGTCAGAAAATGATGTTCTAAGAATCCAAAGCTGGAAAATATTATAGAAACCCAAACTACATCAACAAAAGACATTTTAAATTCAGGGAGCAAGACATGGGTATGCTTAGATTTTATAACTGATATATTTTTATAAATCAGTCTAACACTTTAGGTTTGAACAAGTACTTAAATCTAAAAATAATTGAGTGGATGACATAACCTGAGTATAGAGAAAAACGTCCCCATGGAAACCAATTTTTTTAAAAAATGGACACAAGAGTTACGAGGGGATTATCGTTTTAATAGATTCTGACTCACTGTTGGTTTTTGTTGTTTTATTTGTTTTTTTTCAATTTGAAAGGCTTACCATCTTGCTGGCCATGAAGAGTCTGGGGACTTTGCATTCTTTCCTCAAGATTGGAGCTAAGATCAGAGTTCACAGCTGACATCCGTGTTGAGTCACTCATGTCAAATTCATCACTTTCTATTGAACTTTCATCCTGAAAATGGTTTTAAAATAACATCAAGTGTCATAAAATATACTACATTCAAACAATGACCATTTTATCTACATGGTCAATTAGAGGTTATCCAGTAATAAGCTTTTACAGAACTCAGTAAAATACATTCATGCTAATAGATGATTGAAATAACAATGAAGTGATTTCTTCTTTCAAGCAATTTTAAGATTGGTGAATATTCAAACAATATATGTATGCACATGCATATTTTAAAGACAAATAATGTTTAGGGAGAATGTAGTTTGGAAAATAGCTTGAGGAGTTAAAGAATGAATTTTTTCAGCAAATACCTCCTAAAAATGTCAACCATAAAATATGACATAAAGAGAAATATAAGCTTTTATTAAAAACAAAATGACTTGATAAAATATTATAAACACAAATCTTAAAATGAAGTAGGAAAGTTTTTCATAAAAATTTTCACTGGCAAACAGGATTGAGTCTAATAATAGACAAATACACATGTCTAGAGTCAAAATCTGCATTTGACATATAGCAAGGCAATCTTGATATATCATCAATCTTTGCTTATAAGTGAATATAAACTGCACTGCCACCATAAAACATGAGTTCTAAGTAAAATTGTGCAAGATTCATTTAGGAAAATCAGTTCACAAGATGGCTTAATTAGCAAAATGTTATTTCACCAAATGACAAATTCAATAAAAACCTATAAAATATTAACTTGAACTAAATCTAGGATATTTTGCTTTAGTCATTTCACCAAAGCAAACTCCTTGGAGAACCAATTTTTTGATAAACGATGTGCTTAAAGAGCAAGGAGTGCTGAGAAACCTGGGTCAAATGTAAATGTTTCTTCAAAATCACCAAGCTAGACTTTAATTTGTAAATGTTTGAACTTAACGTTTAATATTAATAATTAGCAGCTGCAATGTGAGTGCTGCAATTTTTTTTTTTTTTTTCAGACACTGGTCTTCCTATCTGCTCACTCAGTCATCAGCACAATCTGTAAGCTAGGAACTATGATTCACACAATTCTATTAATGAAGAACTTGAAGCACAAAGAAATTAAATAACTGTCCCTGCTACATATCAGAACAAGGACTCATATGAAGTCACCCGGGTTTGAGGAAACAGTTTCTTTGAATAGGAAGAGTTACCTTGGTTTCAAAAAATAACATGCTGGTATCAGCAAAGAAGCTGCCATTGTTAGGGAGCAGGAGAGTTCTAGTAGACTAATAAACTGGCCTTCATAGGTTCATAGGTCAGGCCCAGGTGATTTTGATGCCAATTCTTCACCAAAGGTCTGATTGTGTCTAGGTTTGCTAAGTAGCACTGGCTCTTCATTAATTCAGTAAGGAAATGCTACCTTGGAAGACCTTTGGGCAATCTGTCACATAGACTTCTGGTGACATGAACTTTCTCTTAGTACATTGTTTTTCACAATTCTAAGAAAATCCAAAGTGTATCTGTGATTGATCATATATATATATATATATATATATATATATATATATATATATACACATACATATATATATATATAAAATATGTATATACAATCTTATGAAAAATCCTAAATGATTAATTCAGTCACACATTATTTAGTAAAACAATGGATAAAAATTTATGAGCAGAAAAATGGCATGTTCAGAAATGAGAAAATTAATTTGCCTATTAATTTGTGTAAGGTAGGACTGGTGTGGGAGAAATTGGAGGTGGGTATATATTTCATAAGATTGTATATACACATTATATATAATGTGTATATACATACACACTATATATAATGTGTATATACATACACACATATAAGAAAAGAAAAATAAGAGACTCTAATGTGGACTTCAAAGTAATCAGTGTTACCATATTCATGTACATACATATACAGTTATTCTTTACATACAGTATACATAGTGTCTGTGCTACTATAGTATTTTAGAGGATATTCTCAGGAACCAGACTTCCTGGATTTAAGCCCAAGCTCTGCCACATATTAGATGTTTTACCTTGAGCAAATTACCTTTCTGTTCCTCCATTTCTCCACCCATACAGTGGAAATAATAGAAGTAACAATCACTAGGGTTGTGTGAGGATTTAGGGTATATTTAAAATAGATAGAATTATGTCAGGCACAAAATAAGCACAATATAATTTTATGATACTGCTATGCAGAATATGTAACAAATTTTAAAGTAGAATAAGATGCACATATAATATATGAACATATACAATACAATAAAATAAATTTTAGTAGCATAGTAAAGGTGAACAATACCATATATATCATACAATAATTAAAATAAAAATAATAAAAGGGAGATCAGTAGAGTACAGCAAGAAAATCAGGGAGAGGGAGGAGAGGAGAGAAAGGGAAGGTACTGGGGAATAAGATGATCAAATTATGTTACATGCATGCATGAATATGACATAATGAATCCATTATGCATAATTATAATCCGCTAATAAAAAAGAGAAAATGTGTTTCTAACTTCTTTTGTGTTCCACATTAACAGTCTTTATAAATAATTCTTACTATGCCACAAAAAGATGATCACATATTACCTGCTTTCATAGCATTTATATGTGTGAAAAATGCATATGTATGTGAGAGTGTGTGTGTGAGAATGTGTCTGTGTGTGTGTGTGTGTGTGTAAAGAAGAGTTAGACATTCAGATTCAAGTCACATTCTATGAAATGGTTGAACAAACTGTTATATATAGCACATTATAGATAATCAGTAAACATTTTACCACCACTTAAATGACACTCTTGTCAGCACGCTTTTAAAGAAATTTGAACAGGAGATTAAAGTGTTATGTAACCAAATGTACTGTTATATACTTTTGTTCTTTAAAATATCAGCAATTTTAAAACATTTATTATCACAAACAATGATTGAGAACATTTTAAATATTTCCCTCAATTTTGACCTATGAAATAAAATCCACTTGTCATAGTTCTCCTTATTTAAATATCAATTGCTATGCACTTTTATGAAGAGCTTTAATTCAATGAAGTGCAAGTGTTCATTCTGTAAGTTCCATTCCAATTATTCATCAATTAAATTATTCTTTTAATAAAAAGGTAGCAAAGGTTTATGAAATATCAGATTTGGGTTTTTCATCAACATAGAAATAATGCTAATCATTATTTCTAGGGAAGCATCTAGGGAAGGTTTCTAAGAAAACCATGGTCAGCTACCATAGTAATTGTCTCCCTGAAATTTATTTTCAGAAAAATCAAAACAAATATTTTAGTATAATAATTTTCTGTTCTTTTAAAAAATGTACTTACTTATGTTTAAAATTTTTATTATTATGCTTCTGTCTCTTTTGAGAAGTTGCTAGAAATGGAAACATCTAATAAGCTCCATGTTTCACTGCAGTTCCAAGTTCCAGATTTTGCTTCTAAAGAGTCTGGACCATATTACCACTGACTCCCATTGCTATTGTCCTGATTGGTTCAAAATCTCACTTTCCCTTTGCTGAACCACATACTAATAGATCCCTAATTATCCTACCCACCTCCAATTTCTCCCATACCAGTCCTACCTTACACGTATAGGCAAATTAATTTTCCCATTTCTGAACATGACATTTCTCTGCTCATAAATTTGTATCCATTGTTTTACTAAATAATGTGTGGCTGAATTAATCATTTAGGATTTTTCATAAGATTGCTTGAAAATCATCCCCATCAATCTCACTTTTCTGGAGTTGTTTTTTCATTTACTTATGCTCAAGTCAAATTAAAGTCTATATTATTAACATTGGTATGAAATACACCACTTCAAATTTTATTGTGCATGTGTGTATAGTTTGTTACAAATTCAAATCTCCACGTCTCACACTTCAGACCTGGAACTAGAATCTTGGTTGGGTTCCTACAACATGTAGTTCAAAAAAGTCCTGGATGTCTCTAATACTGATTGTTTGACCAATGCTCTTCCAGAAAATATTCTGTGATGCTGGAATTGCTCTATAGTACTCTCTAGTCAAAAAGGGAACTAGTAGCCATATGTGGCTAGTAAATACTGAAATGTGGTCAGTGTTACTTAAAAACTGAATTCTTAGCTTTAACTAATTTTGATTAAGTCTCAATTAAATTTAAACATTCACATGTAAAGACTACTATATTTAGCAGTACTAATTTGTTAATTCTTCAGTGGTAGATCTTGAAAATACATCCAAGCATTATTAGAAATACAGTAAGCAATCTAAAAACATAAACCTAAAACATGAATGGTTTGGTATTTGACATTTCTTTGTATAAATTTATAGTCAAAGCATACAAATATATTTAAAATTTTGAGGTTGGGGGATACCAGGGATTGATTGAACTCAGGGGCACTTGACCACTGAGCCACATCCCCAGCCCTATTTTGTATTTTATTTAGAGATCGGGTCTCACTGAATTGCTTAGCGCCTGGCTTTTTGCTGAGGCTGGCTTTGAACACATGATCCTCCTGCCTCAGCCTCCCAAGCCACTAGGATTACAGACATGCACCACTGTGCTTGGCTATTAAAAAAAATAAAATAAAATAAATAACAATTATTGTCAAACTCTTCTCCAGAAAGTTTGTTTTAATTGCAACTCTCATCAACAGTTTGTAAGAAAGTCAACTGGATACTGTATTTCAAAAAATCTTTCTCAGTGTGATAACTCCAAGTAAGTTAATTCATAAAAATTTATTTAAGCAAACATAGGAAGTTGGGTTTTGCATGGTTTATGAACATTGTAGTAGATAGTCTCCAAGAATTGCTTCATTAACTCTTTCCCTCACTGTACACTGATGCCATTACTAAGATCAAAAGTCAGTCTCAATTCCCCCCCTTCCTTAAAAGTAAGCTGGCTTTGTTATTTTTGTTTTTAATTTTTAGCCAAAAGAATGTGTCAGAAGTGATGTTATGACAGACACAGAAAACCAGGGCGTTTCTACTTCCTGTCTCTTGGGAGTTAGCTGCCATAGAAAAAATCTGACCACCCTGGGGTCGAGATACCTTGAGGAAGCCCCA